TTTCTAATTACATAAAGTCATACAGTTCATTTGGGGGAAGATATATTTTGATGTGTGGGCGGAGCCAAAGCAGTAGACATGATTACATAAGCCATACAGTTCATGTAGGCGGAACAATTAGTGGAATTGTGGGCGGAGCCATGGGTGGAGCCACATCAGTAGGCACACTTTCTAATGACGAAAAAAATGCAGTTCATGTGGGCGGGGTTTTAGGTGGAAATGTGGGTGGAGCCACAAGGGGGGGGGGGGGGGGGGGGCAAAAAGCCAGCTAAAGTTTAAGGATTAAATCAGTTTGTTGATTCAAGTTACCACTTTTCCCAGTGTAGTTGAATGAGGTAAACAGTGTGGCATGAGCCCAATGAAGGAATTGTGCATCACTTGAGTCGGTTGTGCCCAAACGAGTGATTGTTAGTAGTGAACCGTATCATGGGACATGTAGAACAGCAGATCAGTGTAGAGTGAAATCTTCTGACCATTTACGGGGGTGTGGCTCTTTACATTTGTCCCATGGGATTGGACGCCTCGCCCATTGCATGGTGAGCGGCGGCCAATGAGAGCGGAGCACCGTCTGACGACACCTTCTCCTCCTCCCGCCGCTTCAGACACGCCGCCTTCGGGTTCAGATTGCGCTCTGCAGGAGAAACACACACACACAGTGCTGATTCACTGAACACACAGCAGGACTGAGCTCTTATATTAATCTGTAGCTCATACAGCGCCCTCACATGGAGAAAAAGTGCCATTACAGCATTACACAGCTAATTTCATTTTAAAGGCTCCACTCATAAACAAAGAGTGTTCGCCATATTTGTTATTATATAATGCTATATATGTGTGTGTGTGTGTGACTGACCTCGGACCTGCTGCTCCAGGCTGAGTATCACGGCGACAGCCTGATGCAGGATCAGCAGTTTGGTCTGCGGCTTGTCGCTCTTGAGGTGCAGCTGACACATGCGGCCCAGCTCCTTGAAGGCCTCGTTGATGTCGCGCACACGCAGACGCTCGCGCGCATTATTGGCCATGCGGCGCTCCTTCTCCCGCTCCAGCTTCTGCTCCGGCGTCAGGTCCTCGTCATCATTAGCACTGAAGGACAGAGATAGAGAGATAGAGAGTGTGTGTGTGAGAGAGAGAGTTTGAGAGACAATGTGTGTGTGTGTGTGTGTGTGTGTGTGTGTGTGTGTGTGTGAGAGTGTGTGTGTAAGAAGAGAGTGTGCATGTGTGTGAGAGATTGTGTGTGTGTGTGTGTGTTTGTTTGGTGTGTATGAGAAATAGAGAGAGAGTGTGTGTAGGTGTAAGTGGATTTGTGTGTGTTTGTGTGTGTGCATGTGCGTGTAGCTGTTTGTGTGTGTGTTTGCATGTTTGTTTGTTTTTGTGCATGTGTATGTGCGCATTTGTGTGTGAATGTGTGTGTGTATGTTTGAGTGTGAGAAAGTGGGTGTGTTTTTTTGTGTGAGAGAGTATGTGTGTGTGTGTATGTACAGAATGTGTGAGTGGGTTCGTGTGTATGTGTTTGTGTATATATTTGTGTATGTGTGTGTGTATGTTTGTCAGTGTGTTTGTGGAAGTTTGTGTTTGTGTGTGTGCGCGTGAGTGTTTGTGTGTGTATTCGTTTATGTATGTGTGTGTGTTTGTGTATGTGTGTGTATTTGTGTGAATGTGTGTGCATTTGTTTGTGTATGTGTGTTTGTTTTTTGTGTGAGAAAGAGTTTGTGTATGTGTGTGTGTGTGTGTGTATTTGTGTGAATGTGTATGCATTTGTTTGTGTATGTGTGTGTGTGTTTTGTGTGAGTAAGTGTGTGTGTGTATTTGTGTGTATGTGTGTGTGTGTCTAGCATGTCTGATACTGATGTGTGTGTGTGTGTGTGCGTGTGTGTGTGTCTAGCATGTCTGATACTGATGTGTGTGTGTGTGTGTGTGTCT